AATTACTGACAGGTATGTGTTAGACTTTCTTATAATAATATTGGATTTGTCTCTTTCTCTTTTATTTTTGTCAGTTTTTGATATATCCATTCTGAGGCTATGTTATTAAATATGCAGGTAATTCTCACTTTGCAGTATGGGACCACAAAATGACCGTGTATCCTGAAACTGCGAAGTAAACTTAATAATTGATGGCAAAAATTACCGTTGTTACATGATCTCTGAAACTTTTTGTCACAATATTAAAAACTCTTATTTTGAGTAACACATGTGAAAGGAAATGAAAAAAAATAGTAAACTTTAGTTCATTATAATTTAAAACATTACAAACATAGAGAATTAAAGTGTTTAATTTCTTTGTTAAAAAAAAAACTGCCAAGTGTAGTTTGAACAGTTCCTGCCTTTTTTTTTTGCGTCATGTGACTTATATTACAAAGCAAGCAGCTTTTCTGTGCCTTTGTGAATTATCATATTCCTTTCTAAGTTTGATCAGCTTCCAGTATGTTATAGTACTTTGCACTTTCAATGCTATGAAATATCTCTAAGAGTTCTTTGTACGTGATTTTTTCCTTGGCATTATTCCGTCTGGGACATCTTCATCCTTTTCGTCACCACTGCTTTTGTCATTTATGTTAATAATTTCACTTTCGCTAAGTTCCTCTGGCTGCATATCCAGAGTCTCAAACGGCAGCAGCATCAGTATTCCCACACTCAGTTATTTCATCTATAACTCTATTTACCTTTAATTCAAATTTCACCTCCAGCATTATAATTTTTTTTTCTTTGCTGCACTTTCATCCTTGCCGGCAGATCCCCTCTTTTGATTATCCATGTTTGTAAAATGTAGTTAAAATGTCAGTGGGAGACAAGGCAACACAACTGCACAGTGACCAATCAATGACAGACATCGAAAGGAGCGATGTAATTGGTCACTGATCATGACTTTCATTTGTTATTTACATGGTGATGTGTGGATGGAAGGACTATTAGGAGGCTTGTACTTTCTGCAGTTACAATGTCATGCTAACTGAAGTTTGTGTTCTGTTATTGGGATTCTGGTGCTGCATAACTAAGCTGAGATAACTGGTAATTGTGCACATGGAAACTATGTA